GTTGTATACGTAGAATTTTTGATAAGCATAATGACCACGGGTATTTTTCATACTCGTGAGTAATAACATTTTTCCCGATTTTTTATGTATTAGATCAGGATAGGGCTTCTTGCACATGACGATTTTAACAATTAGAATATATACGTTTATAGCAATTACTTATAAAATTAAAATATCTTCAATGTAAATGTTTGGAAGAGTAAAATACCCATATGAATAAATAAATTATAAATATTTATAAATAATTATTATAAACGATTTTGTTTGAGCATTTTATAGTAGAAAAGTTGCTATGAAAGATGCAGTTAGTACTGATAATAATTAATAATTAATAATCTTCAATTCTGTCTTCTCTTTTATAATAGTATTGTAATGATTCAATTAATTGAGTTTTATAATTGTGAGCTTCAGTAGAATCTGAAATGTGATCAGAATTTTTTTCCGTAGAAAAATTATGTGCAAGAAGATATTTCACGATAGGCAGATTTTTAAATCAAAACAACAAGTTTGAACATTGCTTCCGCATTTTCAAAAATATGCTTTGATGAAGAAATCACCTGAGATTATTTCTATTCAATTTCTAGAATCAATTGTTTGATTTTAATTATTTGAGTCAATTGTTAGATTGTTCGTAATACCTTTTTTTAACAAAATCAATTTGCGTAATGCAATCGACAATTGTCTATCAAACCAATCGACACTTAGTGGCTTAGCCTAACTTTGTACCACTGAGATAGCAAGAATGCAGCAGAAATTTTTTTTTTTTTTAAATTCTTCTGTCAATAAAAAGTGTGAAGTTCTAAAGCAAAAGTTTCTAATAACAAAAAGAGCTATACTATTTACAACATTTATAATAATGTAGCTACATCATTGTAAACACGTAGACTGTAACAATATCATATCGATCGTTCGTACAACGAAAAAACGCAGACGAAATTTCTGTGAATAATCCGAACGGTTGGAAATGAAAAACGAGTTACGTACTGGTCTCGATGATCGTTGGCAACGGTGATAATCGCAACCTTGACGCAACATTAATACCTGTTATGTTAATGAAAAACGATAACGTTCCGCAGGATCTACCTTAAGAGCTGGTAATGAGAGATAACTAGCAAGGATAAATCGATAGTTCGACAGATATTCTCCTTTTCATCGATGGGGGAAACGCAATAATTACGTGACGATTAATCCATTAATCTTTCAATACGTTTCATGCTAATATGTCACCGGTTCCAATTCTAAGATGCATGCATGTTCTAAGAATTTAGAACTACCGACGATTAAAGCATGAAATTTCCATCAGAGATATCAAAGTAGGAAATAGAGAAAACTTTACAATACTTTATACAATTGAGTTTACTTTTACTTTGTATACACACGTCTGTAAAATGTCTAACAAAAATTATAAATTGGTCATTTTAACGGCTACTGCAAGTCGCGGAAAAACATTGATATGTACATTAGTATGTGACATCGACGAGCACTCGCGCCAATTAGACAAGTTACATCGATACATCGTTGAAAAGACATTACGAGAAAATGAGCCACGTGGCCGAAAAAAGGGAACAATCGGAATTGATCTCCATTATTGAATGAGTATTCGAGTTTAAATGGGCGTCCTTAGTTTCTGTCGCGGACAGAAATATGAAAGAATCTTCAAAGGGGAAAATAGACGAAGAGAGCGGACGTGAGAGGAAAATAGCGAACGTCGGGAGAAAAAGTGAGAGCAAAAGATGATCGGCGAAGAGCTGACAGGAAAGACGAGTGAAAAGTAGCAAAAAAAGAAAAAAAAAAAAGAAAAAGAAAAAAGGCAAGAGAACAAAGGAAACGCGCATGGAGCGGAGAGAGAAGAAGTGGGAAATTGATAAAAGTAATAATAAGAGCAAGAAGAGATGCAAGAATGTGTGCGGCTGAATGTGGAGAAGCGGGATGATGAGGTCGACTGAATGCCGTTAGCCGTGTCGTTGATGCAGCTCCATGTATGATGCAGGCTACATATGTGAGCCTAGAGACATTCGTGTGAAATGTCATCGCTTGCAAGAAAAGAACAAACGAAAAGCAAAGGAAAATAAAAAAGGTGGAGAAGGGGGGATAGAGATTTAACAAAGAGAGAGTTCACCAACGAGCCGAATCTGTCTGCTCACATGACAGTCCTCCATGGGCTGCAACTTGGAACGCATCACGGTGTAATTCTATTGTGATACTGTCCCTCGCATATATCGAGACATTGTTTCGCTCATTTCGATCATTTCTTTGCAAACGAAAAATAGACGAGGAAGAGAGAAAGAAAGAAAAAGTAACTAAAATTGTCCGTGAAAAACACCGCCTTCATATTTTCATTCTGCTTTCTCTCGTTCCATTTTTTTTTTTTTTTTATTTCATTAAACGAACTGCTTCAAGAGTATATATATGTATATAGAGACGACTCTAGAGAGAAGTAAATGGAAGATGTTATTCTCTCGTATAACTTAACTATATTTTCAAACAAAATAATGAGAGCAAAGGAGAAAGTACAGAGATCCCGTTTTGAAAGATGATGCTCAACCATAACAGATGGAGCAAAATTTCGAAAGAGCACACGACGATTACAATAAATTACGATAAATTAAATCGCGATGTTTGTTAGAAATACACGGATTAAAACGGGGGGAGGGGGAGGGATGAAAAATTTTTTTTTATTATCGTTCGTCGAATTTTCACGCGCGCGTAATTGCGCGTGTACGTACGGTATTTCCTCGGTAATCCGTTCTTTCTGCCCGAAGAGTTTCTCTTTTTACCAGCGTACATCGACACAGAGACTCGAGATAGCTATCTTCGGTATGTCTCTCCGAACGTAACACGATTCTATCTCGCGCACGATATCTCGGAATTTTTTCCTCTCCAACAGATTGACTCGTCGTTACAACCGGTCCGGCTCGCGTATTTTTCTTTCCCTGCCTGACGCAACTCTTTCGACATGTACCGGCCATTTGCTTCGGGGTATCGGACAAAGATGCATCGTGGTCCACCGTAAGTCCGCGAAACTAGGACACGTAACCATCCCCACCCCCATTCTCTCCAACGACCAGCTAGTGTTTCTTGTCCTGTTCACCAGCAAGTCGCGTAACTTGACTTTGTGGATAATGAAATTACGGCAATCTCGACTGATTTTCACATCCGCTATCCGTCCGTTTTTATTCTCAATTTATATTCATGTTTGAGGAATTTTTGCGATAATCTGGACCTGGAAAGTTCTTCCTGGAATAGATTATGCAAAATTTGCACGTATGAATTAGCACAAAGATGTATAGAGGAAGGATGCCGAGGTCTACTTTATCTTTGAACGATAAACGCGTGCTTTTAACCTTAGTTGTACAGAGTAACTTAATTGTACGATACGGCATTACGGCAGAAATAGAGATAAAACGTGCTTGATTTTATCCAGAACATCGATTGAATGGAAACAAGTAGTTTAAGTGTTTTTCTCTTATCGTGTGATTCAATGAGATCTGTTTGACCAGAAGATCAACCATCTTGCGAGAATGAGAAAAAAAAGGCAAGGGGGGAGAGAGAAACGATGAGAGAAAGGTAGTTATGAATATATACATGTAATATATATACATGTAATTTCCTTACGATTTTTCAACGCGTAATTCCATTGCAAAATTCTTCTCACGAGATGCTTCTGTTTTCCGCGCGAAACGATTTGAATTTCGGCATAATTAATTGTTTCTTTTCTTCTTTTTTGTTCACGAGACAGAGCGAATGAAATTTATTCAGCGTGATAAAATTTAGTAGCAATTTCAATCGAATTTCGTTGAGTCAAACGCAAGCGGTTTCATCACACCTCAAATTACTCGACGTTTGAATCTGCGTTACGATGCAACAATGACCTCATGAATAATTTAACACGCGCCATTGTCTCATCGGTATGTACTAATAACATCACGTCAGTTGTAGCGTATCTGACACTGATTCACTTCGTGAATGCGTTTTTCCTTTATTTTCCATTCGTTCACCCGTAGCGCGTTGTTTTTAAAGATTGTAAGACCCGGATACACGCGATTTTTATCGATATCAGCGCGACGTGACGTTCACCATTTCTACGCAACTGCAACACCACATTAGATCGAAAATTAAAGCGAATCTGCGTATGAGGTTACAAAGTCTCTCTTTCTCTTTCTCTCTCCATTATAGACGTGGTAATAAAAATTCGCGAATTTTCCGCGAGATTTTCGTATAAAAATGAGATTAACCTTGCCAGCTCAGAAAAGCTATATTACTTAGAAAAATTATACACATTTTTAACCAACTCTGTTGCTCCAAAAACTGAAACCGCAGATCCGCCCAATTAGTGACGAACCTCGGTTTTGTTCCACACAAGTTAAATTCAAATTTTTTTTTTTTTT